ATTTAAAAGGATTCAAGTCATACAAGATATGTTTTCTGATTATGAATATTTTTATTCTCTTGATTGTGGTAATGGTTTCATGAATTTATATATGTCAAAACATATTCAATTATATATTTTTAAATATGTGCAGTTTATTGTCACAACGTACCCCCCAATCAAAAAAAAAGTAATACCAAAAGTACTTGAGCTGAAAGTGGGAAGAACTGGTACCATTTCTTTGTTAAGAAGAATCAGTTATGGGACAGGGATTAAGCAGAGGGGAAAGTTTAAGAAGGAGGAGGGTTTGAGGTTGACGATGGCTGGTGAGCAATTGTTACCTTTTTTGTCTAAGTTCTCAATCAGTTATCAGTTTTTCCTAAAACATCCAGGTCACTTTTCTTCCATTAAAAATCATTAATGGTTCATAAATGGCCTATATAATAAAGCCTTCAACTTCTCATCCAAGTATTAGAGACTTTCATATTCTGACTTCATTCAATCATCTGTGTATCACTTGCCATAAACCATCTCTTCCAAATTTTTCTGAATTCTGTGTAACAGCTGTTAATTCTTACTTACGCACTTCTGCTTATAATCTTCTCTATACCTTAGAATCCATACCCCCATCCCTACTGCCTTACTTGTTCAAATATCCAAAAGTCACCTATATCCCCCATCCTCCATGAAACTCTAATCCCTCCAGATCACACACATTTTTCCATTCTCTAATATCTACAATACTCGTTTCACCTTTCTTACATTTACCTGTTTTGTTTTCTAGTAGTCATTTTGGTCTATTAAAGGATAAAGTTTTGGGGCCGGATGTGGTGGCTCATGCCTGTAATCCCCACACTTTGGGAGGCTGAGGCAGGTGGATCATGAGGTCAGGAGTTCGAGACCAGCCTGGCCAGCATAGTGAATCCCCGTCCCTACTAAAAGTACAAATAATTACCTGGGCATGGCGGCACACACCTGAAGTCCCAGCTAGTTGGGAGGCTGAGGCAGGAGAACTGCTTGAACCCAGCAGGTGGAGGTTGCAGTAAGCTGAGATTGTACCACTGCACTCCAGCCTGGGTGACAGAGCAAGACTCTGTCTCAGGAAAAAAAAAAAAATCAAGTTTTGTACTTCTTTTGCTCTCCCATCCTTGGAGCATGGCAAGATACTAAGCAAGAGGTAAGTGGTGAATATATTAATTAAAGCTGGAGAGGCAGCACCAGGAATGAGGTTACTAGACAGATAAGAGCCCAGAATGGATTCCAGCATTGATTTTTGATTTTTATAAAAAGAACGAACGAAAGAAAATAAATACACAATCACCTTCCAAAGAATAAAATGGCATATCAAGAAATCTCATCTTACCTGAAAACTGGCTGATGAGAGCAGAGTATGTCCCCCTTGGAGAAGGGTGGAGTCTGGGGAGGACTGATCTAGGGGAAGAAGCAGCACCATATGACTTCTGTTCAGTTTAGCTATTACAAGCAATCCATAAATCCCGTTTACTTTTCTTTTTGAAAGTAACAGAAACTATGCCATTTCTTTTATATTTTAGGATGCAAAAAAAGATACAAGATAACTGGGGCCCTGGTAACCTCCTCAGTAGGCTCAGGAGGTAAAGCATTGATTTATGATTCAGTTTTATATCTAGACACTTAGTGGTCATATGTATTATAAAACTCAATCTATGTTCCTCATTAAGTGAGGCAAACTATTTCTGCTGCCTTTTCTCTGCTGCATATAAAATATAAAGAAATGATCAGATTACTTTCCAAAAGTCTTCACAGGCCCTTTGAAAACTTTGCTATTAATGTAAATTAAAGATCACAATGACATAAGCTACTTATTCTACCCACCCAATAGAATGTCTTAAACAGACATGGTCAATGCTAATTGCTGGCGAGACTATAAAGCAATTAGAACTTTTTTCATTGGTATATGGTATAAATTTATCAACCACTTATGAAAACTGTTTCGTACTTTATACTAAGCTAAACATATGACTATCCTATGACTCAGCAGTTCCACTCCTGTCCTTACATCCATAGAAATGCTTATGTCCACCAAAGACTTCTACAAGGATCTTCACTGCAGATTTATTCATAATATCTCAGAACTGGAAACAACCCAAATGCCTTTTAACAGAATATAGCATAAACAACCATGGTATTTTCATACAATGGATTATTTCAAAATATAAGAAAGAGCTACTAACATGACAACATGGATGCATCTCATAAACATAATGTTGAGCAAAATAAGCCAGACACAAAAGAATGTATACTGTATGACTATATTAAGTTCAAAAACCAACCAAACTGATCTACGGTCATAAAAGTTAGAATAGTACTCCTGGAGGGATAACTGAGTGGGCAGAGGCACAGAAGACTTCTGGGGCATTAGAAACATTCCATATCTTGGTTATACTAGTTTACAGACACATAAAAATTCAAAAAGCTATACACCGTACAATATTTGTGTACTTTACTGTATATAACTTATACCTTAATAAACAAACAAAAACTTTGCTCTTGGGACAATCCATTCACAGAAGTAGTTGACAGGAAAGCCTGATTCTCAAAATGACTTGCCTGGTAATTAATTATTTATAATTATACAAGTCCTTTGTCTTCTTTAGGCTTCAATTTCCTCATTTTTAAAAGACTAGAGGCAAATGTCTGACAAACATACCTTTCAAAATTGTCTTAAAGAGGTCATGGTAAGGAAAACCAAATTAGGTATACCTGTTTCCACAAAGAAGACAAGAAGAATTTTCTCCTCTTAGAAATTTAATGTTCGCAGAAAGACTAGTGAGGGAAAATGTCTCTGGATATAAAAATTGAATTCGAGACATGAGGTGTGAAACAAAAAGACTAACAATGCTGTAGGAGATGCTTGGTAAAAAACAAGAAAAAATCAAAACAGGAAAGGGTCAAGATGGGTATTTATGAGCACACACAAATTCATGAGATAGTGGCAATAAGCCAAGTGAATTTACACCTGAAAAAATGAAGGGAAACCCAATCTAAAGACAGCGGGGAACATGAACAAAAAGAAAAGCTAAACAATCAAATGGACAGAACCTAAGTAATTTCAGGGGATCTAAATTGTGCCACTAAGGTGCGAGGACAATCTCTTTGGGATACCACCATCAGGATAGGTCAGTGCCATTTGATTTTAGTTCCAAGATTCAAATTCCAGAGAGACCTACCTAGCCTAATGTGGGTTTTAAGACCAAGCCTTGGTTAAAAGATAGCTGGGTAAAATTTACCCAAAATGATCTGATAGAAAGAGACAGACTAAGAGATGGATTATTCTATGTCATGCAATAATTTTGAGTGTGAAAGCTGATGGAAACTGTAGCTAAATCAAAAGGAAGAGAGAAAAAATCGAAAGCAGCACCACACTGGCCACAGTATGCCATGGACAGCTTACACAAGTGGGAGTGATAAATAATATGGAGAAAACACAAGTGGTTTCAACTGTGGCTAAGAATGTAAGTTTCATTTTGTAAAAAATGTATTAATCAAGAAATTTCTTAATTTATATTAATGGTGTCATGTCTCAGAAAGTAGAGGAAGCAATAAAGGAAACTATTATGCTCAACTTGATTTTGACCAGTAAGGAAAAACTGTTTTGTAACAGAAGCCTTAAGAAAAAAAGGAAGACATTATCTTGGGAATCAACAGTGAAAGAAAATGTTCTACATACACAGACAGGTACCCAAGACTTTAGGAAAACCGATTCAACAGAAATGTCTCAGGTAAGATGCTTTTTATTCCAAGTAACAGAAACCAATAGAACCAAAAACAGTAACAGTTACTGTTTTTGAAACAACTGTGTGCCTGGCACATAGTAAATGCTCAGTATGTGCTACAAATACTATGATTACAAAGAACAGAGGCTCAGTTTAGTTAATCATAATGATAAAATTGTGAGAAATCCCAAAAATAAATTAAAAGCAAAGGCTTTTAATGAAACTACTTTGGCTGATTTAATTCTGAGAAACTTAGAATAATAATAATAATTAAAAAAAAAAAGACTTGAAGAACAAAAAATTGAAAAGAAGTATGAACCAAACCTACATAAGACTTCTAATGATATTATTTTTAACAAAAGCAAGAAAAAAAGGACTGCATAATAGGTTAAGCCAAACTTGACTCCACAGCCATACCTACAGAATGTAAAGACAACACCAATGCAGAGGGAAGTCTACAGGGACACGTCATAAGCCTCTACCTTTACTGTGACCTGTTCGATGACATGTAGGAAGAAATAGAAGGAATATTCATCAAATCTGCTAGTGGCATTAGGTTGGAAAGGACAGTTAAAACAATGAATAACTAAATTAGGATTCACAATCATTCTGAAAGCCAAAAACGTGTGACCAAAAAATCGAACAATCATAAATATAAATCCTGACATTAAGGATGATAACAATTGCATTACACAACAATGGTGTAAATCTAGATTACTGCAGTTTATGTAAAAAAGATCTAAAGTTTACAGTACATCATTGATGGCTTTTAAAGCAAATGCGATCTGATGCCAAAGAGCAGAAGTCTAATCCGAGTCAAAGAGTAGTACATTATTCTTTTAGGTACTTTTAAAAGCACATCCAAAGAACTATGTTTACCTTTAGGCACTGCATTTTAAGAAAATGCTGACAAGCAGGAGAGTTTTCAGAGAAGAGGTCTAGATACATCACATAGACCAATCAAAAGAAGTGAGGCTGTATTGCTTAGAAAAGAATTTATGAGGAGTTTTAACAGCTGAACTCACATACCTTAAGGGCAGCAACGTGAAAGAAAGAACAGTTCTCTTTTCTTTGGAAGACTAAGAACTAAGATCAATACAAAAGTTACAGGGACAAGTACATCTGTTTAATGTAAGAAACTAAAAAAGAAAGCCAACAAGGGAATAGTCTGCACCCAAAATGGTGAGTTTAATGCCACACTAGTTCTGGCATAGGGTTGACAGATAGCCATCTGCAAAGGATATTTCAAAACAGACTCTTTCATTGAAGGGATAATTACCAAAATGTCTTCTGACTTCAAGATTATAATTTTAATATTTAATATCTAGAAGTCATGTGGGGATCACAGATATTCTGAATCATTATGTCTTCTCATTCCGCAACGGAATGAAGAAAAAATAAACTCTTCTCCCAAGTATCTCAGTATAAAATAACTAAGAATCTCTTCCTACAGTGTAATTCGGTTTCTTTGCTAATCACTAAGCATAGCGTTCCTTCCTTCCAGCTCTCCTGCTCTGATCTCAAGTATTTGATCCTTCAGTCATGACTGTTATCAAGCCTCCATGACCCCGCTGTCTCCCAAGTCGACCCCACTACCTTCCATCTCAGGAGCTCATCCCGTTCCTCAGGAACTTGGACAGCAGGGTTCGCCAGGCAGCGTTCCTTCAGCTGGTACCTCGGTCTGGAACTCAGATGTCTAGCTCCCCTTGCAGGGAGTCTGCAACACGCTGAGGTTGTCTACCCTAAAAGACACAGGATGTCGTCAGCGCATACGTCACACAATCACACAGCAGAGTCTTGCAGAGTGACCAAGAGGACCTACACAAGAGAAGTGCCCCAACAGGGCACTAGAGAGGCGTGTGGCACTCCGATGAACAAAACCAGAGTGGAGATCGGGTACGCAGGTTCTGCCTCAGACCCAAAAAACCTTTGGTGCCACCCTAGAATCTGGCCAGGGGCATCCACGGACCTGGTCTGTTCCCTCTGTGCACATTTGTGGCTCACACGCCTGCGAGCTCTGATAACACGAAGACACACCTGTTGCAGGGTGTTAAAGCTGGAAGGTGGACCAGCAGGGCGGGTCCCGGCACCCGACTTCCCCTTAGGCCAGAACAAAAGAACAAAGCCCTCCAAGGGATCGGGGCGGGACCGCCCCGCAGAGGAAGGCGAGGTGCGCCCCCTTCGAGGACGCCCCAGCTTGCTCCTGCAGAGGCCTCTAAGCGCGAAACCAGAAGGGTGACGTCACGGGCCCGGAGGGCTGGCTGTTGCCATGGTGATACCTGAGCTCCCCTCCCCCTCTGGCGACCCGCACACTCCGATCCCGGGTCCGGAAGCGGTTTGACCGTCACCAGACCTAAGGCAGGGAGCCGAGGCAGCTGGACTTGCCGAGCGCCAACCTCTTTCCACGCCTACAACCGGCTTCAACGGTCACTTCCGGTCGTTAGGAGCGAGTCCCGCCCCGCACGCTGGCGCCGGCGTTCCCAGAACGCTCCGCGACGCGGTCCCAGAACTTCCTTTCCTGGAGGTCTCAGCCGCCGCGTACGTTCGCCCTGCGCGGGCCGCGCGCTCTCGCTGCCGGGCGTTTGCTTCTGTTTGAGGTACGCGTGTGCGTTGTAATGACTCTGAAACTTGCCTGACTGAACGGATCGTAGGAAATACACGTGTACACACAGTTTAAAACGCAAACAAGCGTTACTTTATTACATGTTCTACCTTGTGTTTTCGGTTCTACTCCTTTGTCATTTTGGAAATACTAGTCGTTACCCATTAACATTATTTTCACGACTCTCAGTTGAGTGGCGAGCAACATTTTTTTTTTTTTTTTTTTTTGAGACAGGGTCTCGCTGTGTCGCCGAGACGGCAGTGTGGTGGCGCAATCTCGCCTCACTGCAGCCTCCGCCTCCCGGATTCAAGCGGTTCTCCCACCTCAGCCTCCCGAGTAGCTGGGATTACAGGCATGCGCCACCATGCCCGGCTAATTTTTGTATTTTTAGTAGAGGCGGGGTTTCACCGTTTGGCCAGGCTGCTCTCGAACTACTGGCCTCAAGTGATCCACCAGCCTCGGCCTCCCAAAGAGCTGGAATGAGCCACTGGGCCCTGCCCCAACATGTTTTTGAATGCTTAAGGAAACCCGTAGGTGATATTCCCAAGCTTTGCTCCTTAGTAGAGCATTTTATATGCCTGTCAGCCAGCACATAGCTGAGAGTGTGGTCCAAGGCCAGTCTGTCATTATGTGGTTGGCAGAAAAAAGAATCCAACAAATCGGATTTTATGTTTAAGACATGGCACTTGCATTTTATTGTGCTGGTGTGCATTCCCAGCATTTGGATAAGAGACCAAGGTCAAGTCTCTCAGCTTGTTGGCTGACAAAGCATTAAACCTGGAAGTCCTAACACTGAGTATATGAAAAACAGTTACGATGAAGGGAAAGGGAATAATATTTAGAAGTCTGTAAGAGCAGATTTCAGAAAACATCTGTAGGAACTAAAAAATAATTTCAAGAATACCAAATTTGGAGAATACCAAACAATTTGGTATCCTCTGTAGAGTACAAGAAAATTTGGCATGAATGGAACAGGAAAGAAAGCTGTGAGAGAACAGGCTTGTAACAAAAAGGACAAAAAATACATAGCAAGCCTATTTAAAATGCAGCAACATAAAGTCATTCTGGAGAAAAACTGAATTGATGCTGTGTTACAGTGAACCATTTATGTATGCGATATTCTTTTGTTTTATTTTTGAGAGGAGTTTTGCTCTGTTGCCCAGGCTGGAGTGCAGTGGTGGGATCTGAATTCACTGCAACGTTTGCCTCCTGGGTTCAAGTGATTCTCCTGCCCCTACCTCCTGAGTAGCTGGACAGTATTCTTTTAAAGCTTCTCTATGGGCCGGGTGCGGTGGCTTATGCTTGTAATCCCAGCACTTTGGGAGGCCAAGGCGGGTGGATCACCTGAGGTCAGGAGTTGGAGATCAGCCTGACCAACATGGAGAAACCCTATCTCTACTAAAAATAAAAAATAAAATAAGTCAGCCGGACGTGGTGGCGCATGCCTGTAATCCCAGCTACTCTGGAGGCTGAGAGAGGAGAATTGCTTGAACCCACAGGGCAGAGATTGCGGTGAGCTGAGATTGCCACATTGCACTCCAGCCTGGGCAACAAGAGCAAAACTCCATCTAAAAAAAAAAATTATGATTGAAAAGGAAAGGATGAATATCACTGACTAAGAGAAAGTGATAGATATGAAGGGCAGAGGATAGAAAGCCAACATGTGGATAATTGGCTATCAAGGAGAGACTAGATAAAATCAGCTATCATTAACACTTTCTATGTGCCAGGCAGCATTCTAAATACCTGTATTAACTTACTTAATTCTTAAAACAATCTAATGAAGTTACTTCTTTATTATTATTTGTACTTTAAAATAAAGGAAATTGAGGCATAGGTAGGTTGCGTGACTTTCAAGGTCAGGTAGGCAGTAAATGGGGAACCTGGGAGTAGAAGTTTAGTAATCTGGTCCCAATCACTCTTAATCTCTCATGCTAGATTCCCTAGTAAAGAGATTTTTTTTTTTTTTTTTTAATTCCTGAGTTTAAGAAGAATACATGTGCATATTAAACACTTCAGGCCTGGCATGGAGGTTCATACCTGTAATCCTGGGAGCATCACTTGAGGCCAGGAGTTGGAGGCCAGCCTGGGTAACATAGCCAGACCCTACCTCTACAAAAAATTTTAAGTTAGCTGGGCATGATAGCATACACCTATAGTCCCAGTTACTCAGGAGGCTGAAGTGGGAGGACCACTTGAGCCCAGGAGTTTGAGACTAGTGTGCTATGATGGTGCACTGCACCCCAGCCTGGGTGACGGAGGGAGACCTGTCCCCCAACTCTCCCAACAACAACTACAAAAACTAAAAACAGGCCAGGTTCGGTGGCTCACACCTGTAATCCCAGCACTTTGGGAGGCCAAGGCAGGTGGATCACTTGAGGTCAGGAGCTCAGACCAGCCCGGTCAACATGGCAAAATCCTGTCTCTACTAAAAATACAAAAATTACCTCGACATGGTAGTGGGCACCAGTAATCCCAGCTACTTGGGATGCTGAGGCAGGAGAATTGCTTGAACCCAGGAGGTAGAGATTGCAGTGAGCTAAGATTGTGTCATTGTAATCCATCCTGAGTGATGAAATGAGACCGTGTCTCAAAAACAACAAAACAAAACAAACACTTCATAATATTCCAGAAAGAGAGACCCAGGCATATGCTGGCAAAGAAAATTTAAAACTACAAAGGGAAAAAACAAAGTCCTACAAACAACCAAAAAGCTAAATAATTACAAAGGATCAAAAGTCAAGATGCCTTCATCTCCGTTTTGCTACATTAAGAGCTAAGAAACAATGGAATGATAACTGCGGGGAAATATCTGTGACCCAGATTTTTATATCAGCCAAGTTGTCTTTCATACATAGAGGCCTAAGAAATAAATTTTAGAATTGAATGAATTTTAGATAACAACACCTTAACTTTTAAAATTTGTTACTATTTTTTAAGGACCAGGTTTCACTATTTTGGCCTGACTGGTCTCCAACTCCTAGGCTCAAGTGATCCTCCCTCCTTGGCCTCCAAAAATGCTGGGATTACAGGTGTGAGCCACCACATTTGACCCTAAGTTTGTTTTATTTGGCCAGTACAACTGTTTGTGGTAATTTGTTTTGGCAGCCCTAAAATATTGACATAAATTTTAGTACTGGGGAGTGGGGTGCTGCTGTAATAAATGCCTAAAAATGTGGAAAGGACTTTGGCATTTGGTAATGGGTAGAAGCTGGTAGAATTCTGAGGCATGTAAATTTTAAAAGCCTAGATTGTCTTGAAAAGATGGTAGAAATGTGAACATTAAAGTTAGATTCTGGTGAGAGCTCACTTGGAAGTGTGGGACATGATAGAGAAAGCATCAGTCATCTTAGAGAATGCATATATTGTCATGGAGAGAACATTGCTTTTTTTTAAAAAAAAAAATAGGACAATGAAAAGACAAGTCATAGACTGGGAGGAAATATTTACAAAATACATATCTGATAAAAGACTGTATCCAAAATATATAAGAACTCTTAAAACTCAACAGTAAGGAAACAGATTAAAAAATAGGCCAAAGACCATAAGATGTCTTCAAAGAAGATATGCAGATGGAAAATAAGCATATGAAAAGGTGCTCCACATCATATGTCCTCAGGGAAATGCAAATTAAAACAGTGGAGGCCAGGCGGGTGGCTCATGCCTATAATCCCAGGACTTTGGGAGGCCAAGTTGGACTGATCACGAGGTCAAGAGATCGAGACCATCCTGGCCAACATGGTTAAACCCCGTCTCTACTAAAAACATAAAAATTAGCTAGGCATGGTGGCGTGTGCCTGTAGTCCCAGCTATTCAGGAGGCTGAGGCAGGAGAATTGGTTGAACATGGGAGGAAGAGGTTGCAGTGAGCCAAGATTGTACCACTGCACCCCAGCCTGGTGACAGAGCGAGACTCCATCTCAAAAAAAATGAGATGCCACTATCACCTATCAAAATGGCCAAAATCCAGAACCCTGACAATACCAAGTGCTGACAAGGATGTGGAGCAACAGAAACTTTCATTGCTGATGGGAATGCAAAACATTAGACCCACGTTGGAGGACAGTTTGACAATTTCTTACACAACTAAACATACCATTACCATGGGATCTGGTCATTGTGTTCCTTGTTATTTGTGCAAAGAACTTGAAAAGGTATGTGCACACAAAACCTGCCCAAGAATGTTTATAACAGCTTTTTTCATGGTAGCCAAAACTTGGAAGCAACCAAGATGTCCTTCAGTACATGAACGAATACTTAAACTATGGTACATTCAGACAATGAAATATTCAGTAAGGAAAAGAAATGAGCAATCCAGCTACCAAAAAGGAAGAAAAACAGAAGAACATTAAATGCATATTGCTGAGTGAAAGAAGTCAACCTGGAAAAGGCTACATACTGTGTAATTTCATCTATGTAACGTTTCTGAAAAGGCTAATATAAGGAAACCGCAAAGTTCAGTGGTTGCCAGGGGTTTAGGGGGAGGGAGAGAAGGACGAATAAGTGACTTTCATTGGATTTTTAAGGCAGTGACACCATTCTGTATGATTTTGTAATGGTGGATACATGTTGTTATACGTTTGTTACAACCTGTAGAATATACAGCATAAAGAGAGAACCGTAATGTCAACTATGGCCTTTAGTTAGTAATAATTTATCAGCATTTGCTCATCAGTTGTAACAAATGTACTACAGTAATGCAAGAAGGAAGGAGTATACTGAAACTACTTTCCACTCAATTTTTCTGTAAACCTAAAATTGTTCCAAAAATTTTCTGTTAATTTTAAAATATAAGAATTTTAAAGATGCTT